CTTAAATCTCGGCCAAAGTTAAAAAATCAAATTTTTCAGGCGGAAATTTCCGGAGGTCATGTGATATTCCGTAAATCAACGCCTAATTAAATTTCCTGATGCATTACTAATATTTATTTCTGTTTCTTCTTCAAATGACTCTCTACAGCACTTTTTTTACTTGCGTGCACTGGTACCAAAGGTACCTTTATTTCTTCTTCTATATTAATAGTTGTATTATTTTCATTTTGTATGTTGCTAGCTGTAGGAATAAATTTATATTTTTCTCATTTTCTTAATTGTTGTTATTATCCTGTTGACTGGAAACACTTCTTGTATTATATCTATGTTTTTTCTTATCCATACAAGTAAAAAAGATAGAAAAATAACCAAGTTTTATATGTAACTACAGTGAAAAATTGTATTTCTCTACTGTGGAAATATTTGATACAAGTGATCAATGGAAAGAATTTTTTCGATACCAATCTGACTTTATGTGAATGCGTTTACTATATCAGTCAACTTGCTATTAATGATCATTCCTGTGTAAAATTGAAATGTATTAGGGGTGACAATATTTCTTCTAATGGTTTTGATGATGCTGATAATACTGATGATAACTCTGATGATAACTCTGGTGATCAGGATTACAATGATGATAGTTCTAATGGTGATGATGTTTCTAGCAATAATGATGATTCTAGTAATAATTATGATGATAATTATCTTTCAAAGAAGATGAAGCGAGATTCAAAAAAGGCTAGTAGTAGCAATAAAGCAATTGCAAGTTCTTCTAAGGGAATTACTACCATAGATAAATATATAGGTGGTGGAACCTTTGGAAATATTTTTTCTGGCTTTTATCATGGTCAAGCTGTGGCCTGAAAAACCTGTGATGCATATAAGGAAAAAGAAGCAAAAAAATTATTAAAAGTTGAAGCAAATGTGTATTCAATTTTAAAGGAATGTCAAGGTATGTGTACTTTTTTTTATTCCTTTATAATATTTATTGATATTAACTTTTTATATTGCAATAATAATATTAGGAAACATTATTCCACAGTTATTATATGAAGGATATGTCTATGATGGGTATCTTTATATGTTAACATTACAATTAATCGAGGATGCTCGCCATATTGACCCAGCAAACCTTACGTTAGAAGAAAAGAGAACAATTGTGTAACAACTTGAAACTATACATAGTTATGGCATTTTACACAATAATATTACTCAAAGGAACATCTTTTTATAGTCAAAAAGTCATCAATTCTTTTTTATTGATTTTGGTCTAAGTAAGTTTGTTGGTACTGAATCAAAAAAATTGTACAAGGAAGAAAAAAAGCTAAAAAAATTGTTACAAATTTGACCATATAGATTTCATTATATTATATCAATATAAAGTAGCAGATGATTAGTTTTTTTTATTTATCATGTATTTTTATTATGTATTTTATTATGCATTTATTAATAAAGAATTTTGGTTAGAAGAAAATATGTACAGTACAAGAGAAAAAGAATTCAATATTGTATCAATGTTGGCAGCATAAAATTAATGATAAAAAAAGTGATGTTAGTAGTAGTAGTATTTTTGAAAGTACAATTAATGTCAAAATTGATGATGTTGGTGGTAATAATAATGAAAGTCAAATTGATGTTAGTAGTAACAATTAACGAAGTACAAAAAATTCATAGCAAATAAGTACAAAAAAAGAGCATAAAGAAGTAATAATGTTAATAGCAGAAATCATAAAAAAGCTAGCAATAATGAAAAAGCAATACTGATACTAATTAAGTAAGCTAAATAATGAAAGTTAATTAAATTATGATAATAGTGTGACAACACGGAAATGTTCATGACCACTGAAGGTGACAAACAGAGGTAGTAGTTGCACCAAGTAGATTATGTGCCACCAATTGGGTGAAATACAAGGTAATTATTTATTCACCCTCGTATAACACCTTCAAGTAGCAAAGTATGGGTAGCAACCAAGGTAAAGGTAAACAAAAGAAAAATGTATAAAGAATAAAAAGTCGAGTAGTAGTAGAGAGGGAAAAAAAGGAGATTTCTTTTGGACGAAAAAAAACTCACTTTAATTAGTTTCCTTTTATTAGTTTTAATAATAATTAAT